GCAGTTGAAGCCAATTTCCCACGTAATTTTGCGGCTAAACTTGCCTGCTTGACTCTTTTGGATACTCTTTAGCATGATTGTGTAGGAATACGTCCAGAAAATGTGATATTGGTACAATAAATCGCACGATAAGCACATGGAAGGCTAACCCGGAAACAACTCAAGCGCTAAAAACGGTTTTTGCGCAGAACGATGCCAGAATTTCAGTTCTGCGCATAGCAATATGCGTTGGTACAGAACGTGTTGAATTCTGGGTAAAACCTCGTACCGTGCCACGGAGAGCGTGCAGAATACACTTACCATGGAGAGCGTGCAGAAGACACTTGCCACGGAGAGTGTGCAGAAGACCCTTTGCCACGGAGAGCGTGCAGAATACACTTACCACGGAGAGCGCACAGACGACACTTATCATGGAGAGCGCACAGAAGACACTTACCATGGAGAGAGTACAGAAGACACTTACCATGGAGAGAGTACAGAAGACACTTACCATGGAAATGATACCAGGGATGTACCCAAATCTAAATTGGTAAACGTTGAAATTGGTAAAATACTCTTAGGGGGCCCCATACATCTACTATATGTGATTATTGTCAGTACATGTCAGAACTTACTTGCACGGTTTACTTATTTTTGTGTTGTGTATTTTATTGTATATTCACTCATCCAATTTTGGTTTGCCAATACAACTTGAAAAATCCAACAACAAACTATAAAGAAAATTTAAATAATAGCAAAAGACATTGAGCATTAAATTTAGCAATTTGTTTGAAACAAAAAGTCGAAAAGTGTATGCTGAATACTCAAAATCGTCTTGTCTTGGTCATGGACGGATACAGTTGACCCTGCAATCGCCAATAAACCGAATTTACATAGGTAACAAAATATAACACATGATATAAGGCAAGTAACGTGTTTGTCGGAGGTCGTCGCGCCACGCATGTGTGACATATGTGTTGATAAACATTGATTTTCCCAAAATCCAACGCACTCTTCTAAAAAATTACGAGTATCAGTTTTGCCCTGGGCGCCACTTTCACTAATTGCCGTCGGCGACTCCGTCGATACCTTCCAATTGCCAACAAAATTACCTACTTAAAGCTTGGTAACCACTTAGTCAAAGTCGCCATCTTTGTTTATATGAGACTCACATATCTATCGTATAGGTGGCGCGACGACTACCGCCCTTTGAAGCGGGAGGGTCGTCGCCTGCGCACGCGTGGGAATTGAGTCCCAAGCGACGATAACATACGTTAAAAACGTAAAGGCTCACGGGTAGACGCTTGTTTGTAAACAATGACACCATAGATCGCCGTCTTAGACAGTGCTTCATGTGACGACACACGCTATGGCCATATGACGCATGCGCATGTGACGACTCACCCGCTTTAATAGTGGTCGATTATTATTTTTTCCGCGAAGTAAGAGATGTGCCGTGATTAATTAAACGTGCTGTCACTTTCAGGCTTCGTAATAATATATAGTGTCCATTTTTTCCACTAGTGCGGTAAAGGGACGTAAAGTGCATTATTTGGTCAATTGGGGAAAAGTTTGAATCAGAAAAAATCAGACTTCTTGGCTTGAAAGTGGTAACAAGTACCGCTATATTGAATTGTCAGCAGTTCGCTTGCAATATGAGTGACCCAAGGTGACAGAACCCAAGGTGACATTTCAACGGCCAAAAGGGAGAATTAACATACGCACACAAAAGATATGGTCAATTACATCTTTGTCACGTGATGTAGGTAAAATGGCTTCTGTGAAGGTGGTCGATTTCAGTTGTTACAGTCTCGAGAGAGATTCTCTGGACAATGCAAATTGTCATAAACTTATTGACGATGTCCACTCGGCACTCTCTACAGTTGGCTTTCTATATCTCACCAATCATGGTTTAAGTCACTGTATGGTAAGTTTCCTTCGCCAAGATTAGGACGTGAACTTGTAGTTATTGTGCAAGATGAACCATTTGCAGTATCTGTAAATAAGCGCCCTCTAGCGATATATATATATATATATATTCGTTGTTCATGACATGTTTTACTCTGCAATTATATTTTGTATTTAGGTGCGTAGTGACGTAGATACGAGTGTCATCCATTCCGTACATTTTGTTATTTATTATAAAATAATTTATTGTAATGAAATTATATGCTAGTGTATTTAAGGTTGTAAAAAATGATCTTTGAATAACCTAGTTTCTAATCTGTGCGTTGGATTTTATTAATACATAATGAGTACTCGAATAGAATCATTTCAATATGCAGTGAATTTGATAAATTTTTTTACAACATACAACTACTTCGATGATACGATACTATTTGTCGGTGATTTTAAAAGAAACAAATAGATATCGGTCATTTCAACCCTTTGAAGATTGTTTGTGCACGTCACATTGGCTGTATTATAATGGCTGTGACGATGAAATACGACTTCTTGTGATGTATCTATTATGCAGATGTATCTATTATGCAGATGTATCTATTATGCAGGTGGACGTGTCATAAACAAACACAAAATGAAATTAGGCGCAGATGTAACTCATGGTTATTTATGAGTGCCGATTTTGAGAAGAATGTTGGCGATTCACAATTTTTTTTTTTTTTTTCGTTATATTTGGATATTGATAAACTTTCGGAGCTTTGCGAACACAATGAAAAAAGGAAAATTACCGGAAAAGTGAACAAATGCATGTTTTGTCCAAAAATAGTGAAACATATAATTTAGTTTTTTAAAGGTGATGACGGAAACTCTATATAATTTACTATAAATAACATTTTACAAAGCATTTATCTTGTGAGAGTTGTAACTGATTTATTATAAGTGTATGTACAGATTGGGTGAATGATTTTGCGAATTAGTTTTCTTTCTGATTTATAGTTGGCCAGGACTTTCTTTAATTTTGTTCTATTACACCTCCACACTGTATTGGTAATTTGTTTCAGATAAATGTCATGCACCGATCCTTGTATGTGTTGACTTCAACATACATGTTTCCTTATATTCAACATAGTAATTGATAATTCACGCCGAGTGCATTATTTTCTTAACAGTGACACGATATTCTGAAATGTACGACTTGGAATGAAAGATTAAGTGGATTTACTATTGTACTGTATACACGGTTTACAGACTAAAAACAATTGACAGTTTGACAATTAATATTATATATAAAAAAATAAATATTCAATATTATTCAATATAATAAATAGTAATGGTTATAAAAATAAATAGACTGAATAATCTTACGCAATAACATGTAAAGAAGTTGCATGGTTTGCAACTCCAGTGATAACCACATCATAAATATAATGTGGAAATTTAATGTCGAAAAATTCTCGAATTTATATAAATTTGAATCTAATTCAATTGAATAATCGAAAAAGAGATATTACTAACATACACGTATGTCTGCTGTAATATCTCCTAATATGTTATATTGTGGCAGGATTCCAAAATATTAGCAGTGTATAACCAGCATTGTAAATATATATACAAATATAATATATATATATATAATACATTAAATATATGATATGTTCTATGTTATAATATTTATTTACTGTGGTAATATGGTAGCACTAGAAAAGCATCCGCAAATATCGTGTATAACCCGTATTTTCTTTGTTTGTTCAAGATTGATGATATATTTCACAAGTCTAAAGAATTTTTTAGTTTGCCAAATGAAGTCAAAAGGAAGTATCTTTTACAACCTGGATGTTACCATGGTTACTGCGAATATAGAAAAGAGGCGTGGGTATCCCCGTGTTCATATAATTGCAATATGTCGTAGTATTGTAGATTGTGTCAGTATTCCTATTCAATTCTCATATTCAAGGAATTGGAACTACTTCATTAAAAATAACAATCAGTGTAAAGCATGAACGCCCGTAGTGATACAAATGCACGTGTGTGTTATATTTATCGAAATGATATGAGCTAACGATGCGAATTGTCCAAGTAAAGATATTCTGCTAAATGTTTGACCTTTTTTATTAATTTGAATGTTATAGAAAATTTTCTATTGTGGCATTTTATACTCGTGACACTTACTGTATTTCAGTGACATGCGTAGACACGGAATCATAAAATTATTTACTGAGTTGAATAGTCGGTAAGGATCGTCAAGCATAGACAATTAGTTTTGATTTCATCTGCATTAGATTGAACATTGAAAGACCTGGAGACTTGAAAGAAGTTTTAAATTATATGCGAGGAGAGTACTCCAATGAACCTGAGGTATTTGTGTGTCTATTCTATTTGTGAATGCAATTAGTATCACATCAAATCTGCATCGCATCTGCATATTCGTTGATGCTCTTGAGGTGCCGAGCATAAACTTATTGTAGTGTTTATGTTGCGGTAGTTTGTAACCAAATCTGTATGGCTCTATAATTTATTGTTTCCTCGGAATATGTGAATCACTATAATTGTATACCAGTTTTTGACAAGTATTTAAATGGCGGTGATCGTCGCGCCGCGTCCTGTTCGATATGGGACTCATAGCGACGTACACAACGCGTGTAAACTACATTGTTTGTGTACATAAAATTCGAGCACGCGCTGCGCGACGACCAAGAGAATGTACATATATCCTTATAAATTAATATAGAGTAAGACAATTTCTCTTTATATTACACAGTTTTTTTTTATAGTTTTTTTGGGAGTCCTTCAAGCAAACAAACCTTTTTCTTCAGAACGGTGACTCATAGCTTATTTATATTGCTGCATATCACGAAGGCGTATGTGTAAATGTGCTATAGTAATACATCCACTTGTAGATTCATTTTCCGGAAAGTCTACTACATCTTTAACTCGTTTTGTTTGTATTACTTGGGTAAGTTTTATATTGTCAGGAAGTGTTTTATATACATCTATTTTAATTATGATTGGTTTTTACAGAATAATGATGGTGTTGATAAACAAATATATGCAAACTTTTCTGTTTTTCTCAGGTTATACTTGGTGAGGAAATCAGTGATTTCCAGTCAACTCTAGACAATTTCTTTGAGAAATGTCAACAATTGGCGATGCGTGTATTGGAGATCATAGCCAGAGGGTTCAATGCAGAGGTGAGTATTTGAGGTATAATATGCTTTGCTTTTATGCGATTCTTGTCCGAAAAAAGGAAGGCGGTCTTTCTCAAATACAATTTTTGAGTATCAACATATACTTAAAATTTCATAGTCACAGGTAACGAATAGTGTGTTTGCTATTTTGTGTGTCTAATCTTAAATGATGAAAAATACCAAAATAAAATAGTGATTTTCTTACAGTTGCCATTCAATTTACATTTTAATGACATCCAAATAAATTAAAGCGGAGGGGCATCATCTGCGCATGTGCGAGAATTGAGTCCCAAACGACCGTTAATAACGCACGATAAAAACGCAAAACCTCATGGTAAGACGCTTGTTTATAAATTACACTCCCTCAAATTCATGGACTATTTAAACTGTTGTTAAATTCGTGCAATTGGGAAGCAATGCTTACTGTGACAAAACACCATCGGCACTGTTGACCAGGACACAGTAGTCCGTCATATTCACAATCGTAATTGCATACATACTGTATGTATATATATATATATATATATATATATATATATATATATACTCATGTAGAATGCTTCCGAATGTAATAATTTTAATTTTATGGTCAGGATCCTCTTATCTTTGTGAAAGAACATAAATATTGTGGAACCACTGAGAATAAAACTGCCTTGAGATTGGCATGGTATCCTGCTATCGCTGATGGTGAGGATATCAAAAAGGATCAGGTCAGATGTGGGGAGCATTCCGATTATGGTTCCATTACACTTCTTTTACAAGATGACCTAGGTGGTCTCCAGGTAATGTTATACATAGATGACAATGCTATCATTAATCGGCCATAAGATGACATACGTTTTCTCCAGGTAATGTTATGCTTGATTGATGTGAGATGGCAATGTCGTCATTAACCAGGCACAAGCTGAGTTTCACTTTAGTTATTCCCCAATTAGTATTTTCAATGCGGGCAATTACACCAACGTCTTTATTACAGAAAGGCACGGCTGTACAGTGCATTTAGTGGCTTTTAAAACCCAATCGATCGTGTATGGCTTGAATATTTATAGTAGAAACATATGGTATTTTACGATAATGGACTTTTCACGTTCATGTGCGCGAGTTTTCTGAGTTTATTTTTGTGTTTCTCCTTTTAGCGGATTGAATATCGACCTATATGAATGATGTAGACCATCAATAAGTATACTAGTGAAGCCGACAATCAGCCATATTCGACAACTATCGAGTTAGAAAAGTTAAAATTTGAATATTGGGAATTATTATTGAAAGTAAAATGTCACTGCGGATGTACAAACGAAAGTGGGTGTATGGCAAACTTCCATACTCCCCGGCAAACGCTTAACGTTGCGAGTGTGAGTTCGGGTCTTGTGTTGTTGTAAATATTTGAAATGTTCGTTTCAATTCATCTCGATTGAATAGAATATTGAAATTATTTTCGTTTCGTCAATCACTTATTTTCTATGCCATGCTTGAGATGAGTGATAAGATTACATGGACAATTATACAGGCCAAGGTAAATTGAAACGATTCATCCGTCATAACGCGCCATAATATGCAAATCGTTGTTATATTACTATTTTATCTAGGCTCAAACCCAAGATGGTAAGTTCATTGATGTACATCCAATCAAAGACAGTATAGTCGTAAATGTTGGTGCCTTACTTCAAAGGTGGACGGCAGATAAGCTTCATTCACCGGTAAGTTTATCGTATATTCTATCTCATAAGATAATCATATTCTTTTGGTCGTGTCTTTGTACAGGGCAGAAAACGGGGGTTTATCCGGGGCATTCACATAGGAAAGGTATACGTTATATTCCGCCGAAATGAGTCACCTTTCCCCGAAGAATTCCCTGCATATTGGTCAACTTTTTCAGAGAAAAATCTCTAGACTAAAACAAGCCAAAAAATGTGATTATCTCGTTGTAGAATTACATTGACGAGGGTATATTCTATAAATTACATTCGACGTGAATCTATCGAGATTTAACACCAATCAGAGAGCAGGTTGTTTCTTTACAAACTAGGAAAACCCTAACACTTAACAGTCAGACCAATCAGAGAGCAGGTTATTTCTTGACAAACAAGAAAAACCCTAACACTTAAAGGGCGGCAGTCGTCGCGCCGCGTCCTGTTCGATATGGAACTCATAGCTACGTATACAACGCGTGTAAAATACATTGTTTATTTACATGAAATACGAGCACGCGCTGCGCGTTTTAACAGTCAGACCAATCAGAGAGCACTTGCTTGTTGACATTTGTTTTCGACGTACCAAGTTCTGCCTTGTATATATGCTTCGAATCAACTGGTAAATTTTGGTGTCTGTGTATTTCCTTTCTGTGACTTTCTGTTACTTAAGTGAGTGAATCGTATATTGTTGTGCTACAATGAAGGCATCATGATGAATGAATTTAAAACAGAATCCGTGTATTTTGCCTGATACCGTACTTGATAGCAACTGTTTGATTTACCTTTTTGAATAATTATTTTACAGGTTCATCGTGTTGTTATACCAGAGAAAGGACGATCGTCCAGTCGACAATCAATTCCATTTTTTGTTTTTCCTGATGACATGTATGAAGTCAAATGTATGGATGGGAGTGACAAGTATCCACCAATCACAGCGGACGCTTATCTTCATTTAAGACATGATGCAACCAGTTTATAGTGCCAAGGTGTACTTGCCATCATCACCGTGACTGTTTATAATAATACGTCGTTGAGACTTTTCTATATAAAATGCAGGAAGTTTAGCACTTTTGCTGTTTGTAAATAATAGAAGTGACACTCCACTGCACATTAGTTGCGATTTATTCTAAAAATCTTTGTTTATGTATATATTATACTACAATTCCTATTAGGCAACGATGCAGCCACACTATGCTGTCATTGTCGTCATAGCAATTTTCACATTTACAGCAGCATTATTAATAAGTACACGCAATTATTTGCATTGAAGTTGCATAATCTGGTATGCTACTTATAATAACAATATACCATTGACAGCAATAATTGGAACAATATACAATACATTATAACAACTGACATTGTTCTGATGTATAGAAATATTAAAGTAGAGGTAACAACATACCCGAATAATATCCAAATCATCAAACATCGAATTGAAGACCCTGAACACGGAACAAATGACTAACAAACAATCCTAAACAAACAATGGAACTGAATGGAAATGGAAAAGCATGTTGTCAAACCAATAAAATAAAGATTTAGTATTAAACTCTTGTTGTCAATCAGCAATAAATATTATTTTATTAACAATTTTTGATGTATATTGTTCTTAATTAAAATTAATTTATCATGTGGTATACATAAGAGTGATCTTAGTTTCAATTTTCGGTTCTTTGGAAAGAAGGAATGACATCACAACAAATATTGAGTTGTTAACACGTTGGTTAAACAATAAATCTAGCTTTGTATCTTGTTTTATGGATTTCGGGCATCCAATAGAAGCGTGTCATCAATGACTGGCGATTAGTAAGAATTTAAATCATGCTGATTAATGTATGCTAAAGCATTATTATCCTCACCAGTAAGCCCAAGTTCATTAATAAGGCCCACATCATGATGTGTCTTATACAAACAACACTATATTCTTGGAACCGATGTGTGCGGGACAACATTATATATGGTGGAGAACAGGGTAAATTACGTCTCAGCTTTATCCACGCAGTCTTCAACCCACTCAGACAACGTGTTTTGCTCTAACTTCTATTAGATTAACTGAAATTGATCTGGTGTGTCGTGGTACATTTCACAACATACATGTTCCACATATTGAGTTTTCTTGTTTCAAATATCTAGTCACTGCAAATCCGCATTCTTTACACGCCATTTTATGTCATCTGTTTTGGGTGGTTAGTGTCGATACGAGGCGCGTTACCGTGGTCTTGAGTTCGAATCCCATTTGTTGTTTGTTTATATGTTTACATTTATATTTCTGTAATTTTATTGTAGACGAACTTCAAGACAAAGCTTTTTAGAAAATGTTTAAAGTAATAAAATGTTCTTGTGAATTTCATGAAAATCGGATATTTTAAATTTTTGAAATAGTTAAAAAGTTAGTGATTAGTTTACTATATTTATGGCATTCATTGATGAACAACCAAAACGGTGTGGCAATATGTGTAATACTGTAGGTACAGAACAATTGATTGTTAAACATCATTATACCAGCAATTGTAGATATATTCATTATGTCACTGGATGTGCTACTGACAGGAAATTACGTCATAGTTTACTTCATTATACCAACAATCGTAGATATCGATTCGTTACCTCACGGAATGTTACTAGTGAGAAACTACGTCACAGTTCATTATATCAGCAATTGTAGATACTTAATTTGTTACCTCACGGAATATCGTTCTGACAGGCAACTACGTCATAGTTAATTATACTACCAATCGTAGACAGTTACAGGTAATGTCACGAAGTGTGATATTGACAAGCACAATATGGCACTAATGACGTCATCCATAAGCCGCTTTTATATACGTCCTTCCCCTCTTATCAAAAAAAAAGAAGAATTCCAAATTCAACTGTCTAGGAATTGCGTAAACCATAGAAACATCCAAATTAAACATCGAAGGTCTATGAAGAATGCAGTTATACACAGAACGTAATGAATAAGCAATGTCCAAATTCATCCAACTTCTTCGCTATCTGGGGCTAACATGATCCCTTGATTTGATGTCGTAGTAGCTGAGCGTTGCTGGTACATTTATATCCTCAATGAAAAATGTTGCACTGAAATCCAGCTGACCCGTCAAAGATACCATCGGAGTCAAATGTAAGTATGACGTCACCACCCTGGAAAACCAATGGTGTTGTCGGATAATTGTTTCTACAATACTCTTTCTGCATTTCACCAACGCGAATAAGCTGTCAGTATGAAAGAAAATAATTATGAAAAATCCATAAGATGGGCAAGAATATTTTTTGGAGAAAATGTTTTTTTATAAATGAAACAAGTTTCGCAATTCCTAATGGTTATCATGTTTATAGAACACAGCGGAATATTCGTTCCATGAAACAATGACATTCTCTAATTCATTTTTCATCAAACGAATATTATAGTGCTTTACAAGCAACTGTCAGTTTATGATCATAATCGAATTTAGTCCTCAATATTTAAAACAATATGTAAAATGCATATGTTTGTGCATATTAATTGAAAGAACAATTATTATCCCACAGACGAAATGAACAATCGTGTAAAATGTGTTTATCACCAACAGTCACATTTTTTAAAGCTAGACTCTTGCACTGATGTTACTTCTCTCACTCGAATGCTGAAAATAACGAATTAGATTCACGAATTTAACCTGTCGGAATTTTTTATATTTATAAATAGGTAGATAATTAATTCTTCTGCAGATGCTGCTGAACAGGATTTTTTGTTTCGACTATATTCAGCTTTATATGAGCTAAATTCCATGGTATTATTATTATAATATGAATACTCTACAAAGCCGCAAATGTTCCTTCCGCTGATTTCACTACCTTAAAGTAATGAGCTCGGGTGAAATCACTAAATCGTAGCGTAAATACACTGAATGCAACTTAACGTCCAATTTATTCGGTTAAGGAGATTTTTCATATAATAGAAAAATACAAAAATCGTCGTCGTTCGGTATGCGTGTACGCATTTTTTTTAGATAAATTCAATTGACGATTATGTGTGTACCACGAAACCTAGAAACATCGGATATACAACTCATTATGCTTGACCAAATATGCAAATCATTAGTTACTCACATGATTACACGGCGACCGATAACATGTATGTTGTGGTGAGTAGTATAAAAGAGATTAGACATGCAAAATAGGAATATATTAAGTTCGCTGCACGTGAATACTAGTATATTCGCTCTCTTGTCATGACCGTAAAACATAGTGATATAGCATGTAAGTTCTGTAACCGACTGTCAATTGCTGTGTAACTAGTACTGGTACCAATTATATTCTTTGCATCATATTATTCGGTATTAAAACCAGAACTTCCACTAACTGTTTTCCAGTAAATAAGGGTTTATTTTGTTCCGAGCACTATCAGGTGTAAACGATACAATATTCGGTATTGCTATATTAATATGAATTATTGGGTGTTAAATGGCAGTTCGTTCGTGAATTATCTGAATTGTTATTCAACAAATAGCCATTTTTCCGGTTGAACACTCTTAAGTCAGATGACGCTGACGTTTTTGATCATATTCAGCATTATAAACTTAACTCCCTAATATTGTTATTATATGAATAGTCTTCTTAACCATTATTCAGTATTGGAGCCTCTCCTTTCACGCCAATCATCCAATAAATTCAATAGTCTCCATACTGAATGTATTTTTTATATGATGGTGTCAATTCCATTTCAATTTGGATATCTACATCCCTAGACCTTATACCCCTGACTTTAATTGTCGAGAATGTGTAATCAAAACATTGAATGTATACAATAAATGTATGTGAACATACACGGACATGAGCGACTAGCAACTATTTACATTCTCATCCACCTGCAAGTTTTTTACCCTTCGTACTTTTACATATATGCAAAAACAATGCCATTCATTCTACCAATATATGTTAAAGTCACTCACCGTAACCTTATCAGTGCAAGTTGTCAAGCCATTAGGAATACCGACCTCAAATGCATCAAACTCTAACGTTATTGTCTGTGAAAGTCCAGCAACGATGGTCCATGAACACTTTTCAAAAATTGAATAAGGGTTGGGGTAGTTTGGAGACCGTAAAGTTCCAGTATTCCCGTCCGATTGTCCATCACATTGCACCAATACCACTATAATAAATAATAATAAAATAAATTTGAAGTGAAATTATACAATTATTCCGGTATTCAATCACTTATTTCGATAAGGCGCTATTGAATATATTAACACAGAACACGTGTTGTTCAAGTATAGAAAACAAGAAAACTCCACATTATCGAAACCAGTTACTGATCCGGTGTATGAACATTAAGTTCAATAATAGTGCAGCATGTTGCTAATGGATGCCTTTGTAGTGTATTCATCCAAACAAACAACCAACCAAGCATGCCTTCCACAAGAATGCATTTTATTAAAACGAACGAACAGTAATGGCCACATTAATATTGAATGTTAGGAATCAATATTTCACCATTATATTTTAATATGTTTACCGGTAATTTTTTGGTTGGTGTTTTCCTGAAACATAAATTACCATTCACACAATATGAATGCAGAATTGATTTGTTATTATTTCCACGTAATCCGCTGTACCATGCAAACTCCAACAATCTGTTTAACTCTGTCGTATTTTGTTGAATGAGTTGTATTGAAAGCAAAAACAGGATTCCAGTATAACAAACACATTGCAAAAAAAACTTCACAATTACATTCACTCAAGGGGAGAATAAACCGTTATCGACGATGAACATCGTAATCACGTGCGTGTATAGCAACGTAGCAGGCAATCAACGCTGAGATATAATCTGTTGTGTATTTGCACAATATGCAATATGGTATTATGTCACGATATTGTCCAAAAACATGTGCTAAGTAGATTCATATATGTAATCCGAATATTCCCGATCCGACGATACTTCTCTATAACGGCTGATTCGAATGCACCCAGTGAAGCAATCAAAACATATTTTTCGAATGTCGTACATATTTAGCAAATTCGGGTAAAC